CAGTCTCACCTTGTTACCCCTGGTAGAGTACCATGGCATCACAGCTCACAGCAATCTCAGACTCTTGGGCTCAAGTGATTCTCTTGTCTCAGCCTTCCAGTAGCTGGGACTACAGGCACCTGCCACATCTGGCTATTTTTAGAGACAGAGTCTCGCTCTAGCTCAAGCTGGTCTCAACCTTGGCCTCCCAGAGTGCTGGGATTATAGGCATGAGCCATCACGCCCAGCCCCTTGTTTTGCATATTTTGTCCTGCTGTTTCTCCCTCCCACCTGTATTTCTCTGGTAGATTTTTGGACCCTATTTTGGGTCTTTCCTACTGTCCTTTAACAGCCAAATAATCTCTGGGCAAATATTAATAATAATTAAGGAATTAGTGGGCTGGTACTCGTGCAGCAAAATCAAACTTTGTAACAAACACACAAAACCCAACAGTTCCATTCTTCTGCATATGAATATCTGGTTTTCCCAGTATGTTCTTGACAACTTTGTCAAAAACCAGTTGGCTATAAATATATAGATTTATTTCTGGGTTCTCTATTTTGTTCCATTGGTCTATGTGTCTATGTTTTTCTTTTCTTTTTTTTTTTTTGAGACAGAATCTCACTTTGTTGCCCTTAGTAGAATGCCATGAAGTCATAGCTCACAGCAACCTCAAACTCTTAGGCTCAGCTGATCCTCTTGCCTCAGCTTCCCAAGTAGCTGGGACTAGAGATACCTGCCACAATGCCTGGCTATTTTTAGAGACAAAGTCTCACTCTGGCTCAAGCTGGTCTTGAATCTGTGAGTTCAGGCAACCCACACACCATGGCCTCACAAGTATATGTGTCTATTTATATATCAATATAATATTGCTCTAGGTACTACAGCTTTGTAGTGTATTTTGAAGTAAGGCAGTATGATGACTCTAGCTTTGTTATTTTTGCTCAGGATGGCTTTTGTTATTTGGCCTCTTTTTTGGTTCCATTGTGAATTTTAGAATGTCTTTTTTTAAATCAGTGTTTTGTAGTTTTTATTGTAGAAGTCTTTCACCTTCTTTAGTAAATTCAACTCTAAGTATTTCAGTTATTTTTTTTAGTAGTGACTATAAATGGGATTGCTATCTCAATTTCTTTTTCAGCTAGTTGGTTACTGGTTTATGGCACTACTGATTTTTGCATGTTGATAGTGTATTTGACAACTTTACTGAATTTGCTTTTTAGTTCTGAGTTTCCTGGTAGAGAATTTAAGTTTTTCTCTATATAAATACAGGCAGTATTAAAAACATATGGAGGTTTCTCAAAAAAACTATAACTATGGCTCAGTGCCTGTAGCTCAGCAGTTAGGGCACTGGCCACATACACTGGGGCTAGTGGGTTTCAACCCAACCAGGGCCTGCTAAACAACAATGACAAAAACAACAACAACAAAATAGCTGGGCATTGTGGCAGATGCCTATAGTCTCAGATACTTGGGACACTGAGGCAAGAGAATCACTTAAGCCTAAGAGTTTGAGGTTGCTGTGAGCTGTGACGCCACAGCACTTTACCAAGGGCAACACAGTGAGACTCTGTCTCAAAAAAACTACAACTAGAACTACCATATAATCCAAAAATCCCACTATTAGCTATTTATCCATAGGAAAGGAAATCAGTGTATCAAAGGGATTCCTGCACACCCATGTTTATTGCAACACTATTCACAACAGCTAAGACAGAGAACCAACCTTAGTGTCCACCAACAAGTGGATAAAGAAAATAAAGTATAGAGCAGTGCCTGTGGCTCAGTGGGTAGGGCACCAGCCCCCCATACAGAGGGTGGCAGGTTCGAATCCGGCCCCAGCCAAACTGCAACAAAAAAATAGCCAGGCGTCGTGGTGGGTGCCTGTAGTCCCAGCTACTCGGGAGGCTGAAGCAAGAGAATCGCCTAAGCCCAGGAGTTGGAGGTTGCTGTGAGCTGTGACACCAGGGTACTCTACCGAGGGCAACATAGTAGGACTCTGTCTCAAAAAAAAACCAAACAAAACCAAAAGGAGGTAGGGAGGTAGGGAGGGAGGAAGGAAGAAGAAGGAAGGAAAGAAGGAAATCACCAACAAAAAAGCTAGAAAACAGGATTTTTTTTTTTTTTGACAGAGTCTCACTTTGTCACCCTCAGTAGAGTGACATGACGTCTCAGCTCACAGCAACCTCAAACTCTTGGGCTCAAGTGATTCTCTTGCCTCAGCCTCCTGAGTAGCTGGGACTACAGGAGCCAGCTATATTTAGAGATGAGGTCTCACTCTAGCTAAGGCTGATCTGAAAGTCGTGAGCTCAGGCAATCCACACCCACCTCAGTCTCCCACAGTGAAGATAGGGTTTTGAATGTTCACAACACAAATGCTAAAACGTTTGAGGTGACAGATAAGCTAATTACTGATTTGATCATTATGCATCATATACATAGATCAAAATTACTCTTATCCCTAAATCTGTACAATTATTATTGTCTCAACTAAAAATAAATGAGAAAAGACAAATAAAAAAAACCCACTAGTAGCCCAACATTTCCTGCACTGGTTTTAAGCAAACACCCATTTTTCTCTCCTTTCCCTCTACCTCACTGAAGCTCTCCCAAGGACAGCTTCAATTTGAGTGCTGAGTCACTGAAGGCAGAACCTTTGCTTTGAGGGCAAGTTCTCTGGGTGGATTATGAAAAGGTGCCCCTCAAAGCAGACACAACTGGTTTAAGCCCCCACCTTAGCCTCTGCACTGCACAACTGCACATCCACACAAGGTGCTAGCCTGGGGAGAAGAAGGGTGTGCATCCTTGAAAGGGAAGGAGAGGAGGGAAAAAGCCAAAAGAGAGGCAGCAAGTAGCCCAGTTAAAGAGTCTGATGAGAGAAATGTGAGGGAGCAGGAGAACATCCGGAGGAAAGTAGACCAGACAGATATTCTGGACAAAATGAAAGAAAAGACAAACAAGAATCTGGGAGTTAGGACAAGTGTTCTCAAGCTTATGCCTGATTCCTGACCTATCCCATATCCTGGGACAAATCCCTTCCACTCTCTGGACATCAGTGTCTTCATCAGTAAGGGATGGATTGGAAAAGCCTAAAATCCCTGCCAGTCTTCATTCAGTGCATCTGTAACACAATCGTAAGAGGCAGGCAGAGGCCACCCCCTTATGCAGTCTGTGCTGGCACACATACTGGAGAAATTTGCCATCTCTCCCCACTTCACTATCACTTTGCCCTGCTCTGGCCTGCGACCCCACTTACCTACAGATTGTGGGTGTTTCTGCCCCTGACAGTCTCAGCCACCCCCAACAGTGCAAGTCGGGGAAGACCATCAGATAGACCCTCCTCTCCTAGCCTGTGAAGGCAGGAAGAGCAAACCCTCCAACCCTCCAAAGCCTCCTGAATCCTGTTCAGGGCAGTGTGGTCCTTGAGAGGCTCCAGGGGAGGGAGATGGGGTGTTACCTCAGCTTCACTGTGTGTTCTCCAACCCAAACCCCTCCTTTCTCAGCATCAAAGCCCTTCTCCAGGAGGCATTCCAAGGCATCTTGCCTGTTCTCAATATCACTCTCTGTGGGCAATTCCACGCACCATCCCAGAGAAAACCTGACCATCCCCTGACCTCCTCCAGACCCTCCAGGTCTTTGAGAGGAGCCACCAGTCCACTTTCTCTCAGCCACCCCCAACTAAGACACCATAAAAAGCCTCCACAAGACAGATGTCTGCCAGTGACTTGCTATATGGCATTGATGAAAATGAAGGACAATAAGATTAGCAATCTTGGCTTGGCACCTGTGGCTCAAGTGGCTAAGGCACCAGCCACATACACCTAAGGTGACGGATTCGAATCCAGCCTGAGCCCGCCAAAAAACAATGACGGCTGCAACCAAAAAATAGCTGGGCATTGTGGCGGGCGCCTGTGGTCCCAGCTACTTGGGAGGCTGAGGCAGAAGACTCGCTTGAGTCCAGGAGTTGGAGGTTGCTGTGAGCTGTGATGCCACAGCACTCTACCCAGGGGGGTGGCTTGAGGCTCTGTCTCAAAAAAAAAAAAAAAAAAAAGATTAGCAACCTTCCCTCCATTTTTACCACATTGAAACTTAGTATTTTAAACATTTTTTGTAGATAATTTATTTTCTTTCTTTCTTTTTTTTTTTTTAAAGACAGAGTCTCACTTTGTTGCTCTGGGTAGAGTGCCGTGGTGTCACAGCTCACAGCAACCTGCAGCTCTTGGGCTTAGGAGATTCTCTTGCTTCAGTCTCCTGAGTAGCTGGGACTACAGGAGCCTGCCACAATGCCCAGTTATTTTTTGTTGTTGTTGCAGTTTGGCCAGGGCCAGGTTTGGACCCAGTATGTGTGGCTGGTGCCATACTCACTGAGCTACAGGCGCCACCCGATAATTTATTTTCCTTTTTTTTTTCTTTTTTGAGACAGAGTCTCAAGCTGTCACCCTTGGTAGAATGTCACAGTGTCATAGCTCACAGCAACCTCCAACTCTTCAGTTCAAGCAATCCTCTCGCCTCAGTTTTTCTATTTTTAGTAGAAAAAATACTTTTTGTTCAAGCTGATCTCGAACCCATGAGCTCAAGCTATCTACCCACCTCCTCCTCCCTGAGTGCTAGGATAACAGGCAAGAGCGACCGCACCTGGCAGATAATTTATTTTTTGAAGTGACATTATCAGTTACTTCATTTTATGCTTATGTAATTTTTTAAAGAAGTGGAGAGGTTAAGGATTATCACCCCCATACTTTAGAGGACAAAACAGGCCTCAAGAGGAAGTGACTCTCTCAAGGTCCTACAATAGGATATCAGGGCTGGGACCCACTGCCCTGGAGGGCTCTCACCTGCATGAGCTCTGCAGCAGGTTGCTGCGCCTTGCCCTCCAGTTCGGAGATGACCAGCGTCAGCCGAGCAAGCTCCCCGACGCCCCGGGTCTTGAACTTCTCACTGCCCTCTGTGAGCTCCTGCTCCAGCTTTGTCAACTGGTCCAGCAGATGCTGCTCCCGCTCCCTCAGGAACTGATGGCCCTGCTCGAACTCAGCCACGATGCACTGCCTCTGATCCTGGAGCTTCTTCTGGAGGGAGAGGAAGGGGAGAAGAGCTGACACCTCCATCTGTGGAGTACCAGGACCTAGAGGGACACCAGGACGGCTCCTTTTCTTTGTTATTCCCATTCTATTCCCATTTGGGAATTCTGCAGCATTTGGGGTGTTTGGGGTGGGAGGAGCTATCGAGGGCTCCTGGTTCACCCCTCCTTTTCTCAAAGTGGAGAGAAGTGAATGCATTCAGTACACTCAGCTGCTGCATAATCAGGACCCTGACTCTGCCTGCCTGTTCAGCCAGAATCTGCTCTAGGCAAACCAGCATATTCCAGTGACCCTGGAGGAACTTTACAGGTCTCACTCACAAGCCAACACACTTTTCCCTCCTAGGAAAATCTCTGTGTCACCTCTTCCAGAAAGCTTTACTAAATTAATGTTGTACAAGCCTGATCAATAGTACCCCATTATTAGGTCTAAAATATCTATGTGAACCCCATCCCTGCCATATAAGACTATACCCTACTTCCTCAGGGTAGGACCATGTCCTCTCCTGCCTCCAGCTCTCCCTACCCACACTGGGGTCTGCTTGCAGTTCTTAGTTCCCCAGTTGACTGATGCTGGGTTGGAGGCATCCATGCACAACAAGGCCTAGAGATGCTCCCTAGACTTGGGCTGTCTCTGCCTTTATCTTTCTTTCTCCTTGGACCTAATTACTCACTAATTAGCCAATATGCCTACACTGCCCACCTTCCCAAGAAACAGACTCCCCCAGAAAGTTGGAACCCAATTATGATTCCAACTAACTACCCAATATGCCTCCACTGCCCACCTTCCCAACAGAGTCCCCCAGAGAGTTGGAACCACCTTATCAGTTTTTTCCCCCTCTGATGTTCTCCTCTAATCAAGCAGACAACTTGCTGCCGGGTTAATAACTACAGTTGCCCCTCGGTGGTATCAATAGGCAATTGATTCCAGGACCTTCTTTCCCTAAGGATACAAAAATCTGAGGATATGATGGGCGTGGTCACTCATTCCTGTAATTCTAGTACTCTGGGAGGCCAAGGCAGGTGGATTGCCTGAGCTCACATGTTTGAGACCAGGCTGAGCAAGAGCGAGACCTTGTCTGTAAAAGTAGCTGGGTGTTGGGGCAGGCACTGGTAGTCCCAGATACTTGGGAGGGAGAGGCAAGAGAACTGTTTGTATCCAAGAATTGGAGGTTGCTGTGAGCTATGACATTATGTCTACCAAGGGTGACAAAATTAAATAAATAAATAAATAAAAATCTGAGGACACTCAAGTCCCTGATACAAAATGCCACAGTTATTTACATATGGCCTATGCACAGCCTCCTATATTCTTTAAAATTCAGGGGTGCCCAGCTTTTTCTTCTCTGCTGCAAACTGGAAGAATACCAGTGGTTGGGCCACATATTAAATACACAAACACTAACAAAAGTTGATTAGAACACAAAAAAGGTCCATGCATACTTTTTGTGATATCCAACACTACCGATAAGCAAAAAAAGTCCTCACAAAGTCAGCATGCAGCCTTCAGCCTACAAGGTGGACACCCTGGTATCATTTCCAGATTGCTCATAATACCTAGTACAGTGAAAATGCTACACATGTATGTAAATACTTGCTATATTATATGTTTAGAGAATAATGACAAGAAGGAATACATATGTTCAATAGAGATGTTTTCCTCTTTCTGAACGTTTCCAGTCTGCAGTTGGTTGAATGCATGGGTGCAGAGCCCACGGATATGAAGGGTCAACCTCACAGGCAACCATGGGCAGGGCCCAGGCCTCACTAGACAAGGCACTACAAAGAGCTGATCAGGCCTACCTTGCCCCCCCACACCCCCCCGCTCAGTTCTTACCCTAAAGCCAGCTCCCTCTGGCCAAACCCTCTGGCTTCCATCAACTCTTAGGAAATCATATCTTTCTCTCCCTCTTAAGAATAGGCCTCCTCAGTACCCTGCAGAAGAATACCAGCTGCCAGACACAGACTCTGTAGCTGAGGTGAGGGCCACAAAGAAAGGAAGGGACCCTGAATGACTTCAAGGCAACTCCTCACTTCTCAAGATGAGAAATAGGCCCAAGGCCACACAACTCAGATGTACCGAGCTTGGGCTAAAATACAGGCCAGCCACTGCCAGCCTGATGTCCCTCCTCCCTGTGAGGGGCTCCTAGAAACACCTCCCAGCAGCCATCTACTTACCCAAGCTCTAAATGGGCAACCACTTCAGAGCTTCCTCTAACAGCCTTGCTTACCAGTGCAGCCAGGATATCAGCTTCTCCCTTGGCCTGAAAGCCCTGAATTTTTTCTCTGTCTCTTCTTAAGGTACTCAGGTGGTTAAGGATTTTTTCCTGTGGAAAGATAAGCAGTAGAGAAAATGGAAAGATAAGGTGGATACTCTCGGCTGGGGCAGAAGGGTGGACTCAGGTCATTGGAGGAGCAGCCCAAGGAAGGCAGCAGGGCATCCACAGGGGTGCGAGGGCTTACCCTGTGGGGCTGGGCAGCCTTCTCCATCAGCACGGCTGTGTGAGGCCTGTGTTCCCGGGACTCCCGGCATATCACACACAATAGCTTCCCATCATCCTCGCAGTAGTAATGCAGCTTCTCCCGGTGCCGCTCACACAACTTCACATCCTGTTGCTCCCGGGCCACTTCTCCCGGCTGCCTGCCCTTGTCTACCTTCAGCCGCTCGATGTTCTCCACCAAGCTGGCCAGCTGCCACACAGGTCGGATGTTCTCCTTCTTAAAGGGCTTCTTACAGAGTGGGCACACAGGGCGGCCCCCTGAGACAGGGCGAACATCAGTGGTGCAGCTCCGGCAGAAGACGTGGCCGCAGTCAATGGTCACAGGATCTCGCAGGTAATCAAGGCAGATGGAGCAGGTCACCTCTTCTTCTAGGCTCCGCAGAGGGGCTGATGTGGCCATGGTGCCCTTAGCTCAGAGGGGTCTCCGTTCACTTGTGGGGACTTCTCCTTGGAGACCAGACACAAAGTTAAGGGCAGGCACAGCAAAGGGGCAGAGGTGGCAGTTTTGCATAGGGCTGTCGGCCCCTGCACTCAACCTACAGACATCACCTGCTCCTACAAGGCTCCCACAATGTCAGAATCAAAGGGACCTTACTGATCTAGTCCAACCTCCCCTCATTTTACAGATAAGGAAATCAAAGCCAGGAGAGCGCAGCTTGGTAGAATGAAGAGTAGCACTGCTACTCACTCGTACCTTGCTGCTGGGAAAGCAGTCCTGTTAACATCCTTTCCTGCCTTCTGTTGGAAAAATCACTCTAATGTACCAATTGTCAAAGAATAATCGATCACTACCTGCTAGAAACCACCATAATAAATACGTAAAAACACAGTGTCTACCTTGTACATGGTACTCCCTTGTACCAGATGCATAACCAGTCATGGGGGTCATGAATCAAAAGACTCTTTAAGTTTGCTCCTGTAGACTTCAGGTTTCAACAACCAAGAGCACTAAAGCTCTTGAGTATAATAAATACGTAAAAACACAATGTCTACCTTGTACATGGTACTCCCTTAGTTGTGTAGTACACAAGATGCACAACCAGTCATGGGTGGGTCAAAGAATCAAAAGTCTCTTTTAGTTTGCTCCTGTAGACTTCAGGTTTCAACAACCAAGAGCACTGAGATTCTTTACCAAAACTCAAGGAGCATAAAGAGGCTAACTACTGATACTACATACTTTCTTTAATGTGTTTCCCTCGACTATTATGTAGCTTTGTTTTTCTTTTTTGTTTTTTTTTGGTTTTTTTGAGACAGAATCTCTCTATGTCATCCTGGGTAGAGTGCTATGGTATCACAACTCACAGCAACCTCAAACTCTTGGGCTTAAGCGATTCTCTCACCTCAGCCTCCCAAGTAGCTGAGACTACAGGTGTCTACCACAACACCCAGGCTATTTTGTTGTTGTTGTTGTTGTTATTGTTGTTTAAGAGGCACAGGCTGGGTTCGAACCCACCAGCCCTGGTGTATGTGGCCGGCACTCTAACAACTGAGCAATGGGCACCAAGCCTGTTCTGTAGCTTTGGTTTGGTTTACTTCCCTTTTTTTTTTTTTTTTGGAGACAGAGCCTCAAGCTGTCCCCCTGGGTAGAGTGCAGTGGCATCACAGCTCACAGCAACTTCCAACTCCTGGGCTCAAGCGAGTCTCCTGCCTCAGCCTCCCAAGTAGCTGGGACTATAGGCGCCTGCCACAATGCACAGCTATTTTTTGGGTGTAGCCTTCATTGTGGTTTGGTGGGCCTGGGCTGGATTTGAACTCGCCAGCTCAGGTGTATGTGGCTGGCGCCTTAGCTACTTGAGCCACAGGCGCCGAGCCTGGTTTACTTCCCTTAACAGCTGGACTCTAAATTCAGTGCCCCAAATAAGCAGAGGCTCACCACAATAAACTCATTCTCAACTGCAACTCCTCCATCTAGCTTAGCTCAGCAGGGAAACCAACATGGAAGAACTTAGGTGGCTGTGGCTGTGATGCACTAAGGAGGCCTTTGCCCTTATAGGGAGCATAGAAGCTAAGCAGATAAAGGACTCTGCTCCTGGTTACCTTTGCAGCCCAGACCTACTGCCTGTCTGAGGTTATAAGCCTCAGCATATCTGACCCAAGAGCAACCCCTGACTATAACAATAGAAGTAATTTAAGTGTAGAACCTCAGTTTATTCATCTATAAAATGGGAAGACTAATATCTTCAAGAGTTTCTAAGCAGGTCATGTGAAAGAATTCTGTTCAAAGTGCTAAACCTGGTACACAGAAAGAAATCCAGGAAAATCTAGAACCTTTCCCAAATCCAGTGAGTGTTCAAATCACAAAGAGTTGAAATGAAAGTGATAGCAAGAGAGGAAGTAAGCAAAAGCAGACACAGTGACACCCATGCCACAGAGTTAAAGTAAAGAAGATCCTCACAGGGCAGAGCATGGGGGATTTGCTCTGCCATAGATCCATGGAAGGCACAGAACATACTGGGAAGACAGCCAGCAGGGCACAGGGGCAACTGCCAGGCTGGAAGGAAGCAACTGGAACCGCAGGCAAATCAACACTTTAATGATTACTTATGGTGAAAGTCCATTACAACAGAGTTCAGTGGCTTTTGTCATTAGTGATATTAACGAGGCAGAAATAAAACCTTCAGTCTATAACACCCAAGAGAAGACAAAACAGGAATGTAATGTCTACTCCTAATGTAATAATATATAAAAAGCACTTTATAAAGTGAAAGGACTATACAGATTTAAGGATTATAGTGCTAAGCTGAGTGCAGTGGTTTACGCCAGCACTTTGGAAGGCTGAGGTGAACAGGTCGCCCAAGCTCACAGGTTCAAGACCCCATCTCTAAAAGTAGCCAGGCATTGTGGCAGGCACCAGTAGCCCCAGCTACTCAGGAGGCTGAGGCAAGAGAATAGTTGAGCCCAAGAGTTAGAGATTGCTGTGAGCTATTATGCCAGGGCACTCTGCCGGGGGCGACAAAGTAAGACTCTGTCTCAAACAAAAAAAGGGAGGGGGTGGCACCTGTGGCTCAAAGGAGTGGGGCACTGGCCCCATATACTGGAGGTGGCAGGTTCAAACCCAGCCCTGGCCAAAAACTGAAAAAAAAAAAAAAGGATTATAGTGCCATAATAAATTCCAATGGGAAACACTACTGCATCTAGATATGTGTGACTTTAAGAGATGCGGAAACAGGCTCAGTACCCGTAGAAGAGTGGTTACAGCACCAGCCACATACACCAAGGCTGGCAGGTATGAACCCAGCCCAGGCCAACTAAACAACAAAGACAACTACAATAAAAAATAGACAGGCATTATGGTGGGCACCTGTAGTCCCACCTACTTGGGAGGCTGAGGCAAGAGAATCACTTAAGCCCAAGAGTTTGAGGTTTCTATGAGCTATGACACCATGGCACTCTACCGAGGGTGAAACAGTAAAACTCTCTCTCAAAAAAAGAGAGATGTGAAAACATGTATTCAAATCTCAAATGAAAGGATTAAGAATGCAACTATTACATGAAGGTAATATGGAGCTGTTGAGATGTTAGAAATGCTACAAATGAATTGCTCGGCTCAACTCTCTGGTTTTGCTGTTGAGGAGGTAAGGCTGGCCCAGCACACTATCATGCCACTTTGTTGAATGGGCTGGAAGTTTAAAAGCTGAGTTTTGTTTTGTTGTTGTTTGGGGACAGCATTTCTTTTTTTAAATTGAGACAGAGTCTCACTTTGTCACCCTCAATAGAGTGATATTGCATCATAGCTCACAGCAACCTCAAACTCTTGGGCTCAAGTGATTCTCTTGCCTCAGCCTCCCAAGTAGCTGGGACTACAGGTACCTGCCACAATGCCTGGCTATTGTTTTGTTTGTTTGTTTGTTTGTTTGTTTAGCAGGCCCGGGCCAGGTTTGAACCTACCAGCCCCAGAGCACGTGACTGGCACTGTAACCACTGAACTATGGGCACCCAGCCTGGGAACAGCATATATTATCTGTGGGGTGAGGAAAGAATTTTGCAATTTCCTAGAAGAATAAAAGAACTATGAAGAGCTCGCCCACAGGTCCCCTTCCACACAAAATAAGACACCATCATGACTTGGAGCTGACATTAGTCTGGGCTCAATGCTGAGCTTCAGTGGTCTTTAAACCTGCTAAAACTATATTAAAAATGTGATGTATATACTAGATGAAGAAAATTGTCTAGGAGATCACAGAAGAACACTAGCTAATAAGGACAAGAACGATAACAGAATTAGAAAATATTTTTTCAACTGCCATTATAATAGCACAAGGATCAACAAATGCTAAAACCATTAGGTAAAAGGTTTGGGGGGCCAGGATAGTCCCTGTGGCGCTGAAGTACCACCTAATGGATTATTTCCTAATGCACCTTGACGAGGAGAGATCTAGTTGTCACCTCAACCAAAAGACCAAACCCTCCTTTACTAACATAGGAGAAAAGTAGCACATGCTTCCTGGTACACCACCATACGAATTACACGGCATTACCTATGAAATGTTAATGCTAGAAATGTTTGACTTGGCCAGGTATGGTGGCTCATGTCTGTAATCCTAGCACTATGCACTCTGGGAGGCTGAGGCAGATAGATTGCTTGAGCTCAAAAGTCCGAGACCAGCCTGAGCCAGAGTGTGATCCAGTCTCTAAAAATAGGTAGGCATTGTGGAGGGCACCTGTAGTCTCAGCTATTCAGGAGGCTAAGGCAAAAGGATCACTTCAGCCCAAGAGTTTGAGGTTGCTGTGAGCTATCATGCCATGGCACTCTACACAGGGCAACAAAGTGAGTCTCTGTCTCAGAAAAAAAAAAAAAAAACACACAAATAAATAAATATTTGACTTGAATGCATTTACTCAAGCCTTTAAATCTAATTTCCAGTTTACAGAAAATATGAAGGGTAAAGGAACATTTTGCAGTATGGTACAAATGAAAAACTGCTGAGAGGGGAGTTAAATCACACCATGGGGAAACAATCAGATAAATCCAGAATGTGGGACATTCCACAAAACAACTGGCCTGGTCTTTTATAAAGTCAATGTCATAAAAGATTGAAAAAGGATTGTTCTTGATTCTAAAAGACTAAAGAGAAATAATAACCAAATGCAATGTGTGAACTGTGATTTGATTCTGGAGGCCCTGGTGTTTTTTAAAAAGGCTAAAAAATATTCTAGGGATTATTACCATGTTTCCCTGAAAATAAGATCTACCCAAAAAATAAGCCCTAGCAGGATTTCTATATATTTGTTAAATATAAGCCCTACCTCGATAATAAGACCTAGTGATGGGCGTGGCTATACAGCGTATCTGCATAGACACACTATGTAGTAAGGAAGACTGGAACACCTTTTATCTGCCACAGCTCCTTTCTCTGAGCCGAGCCATTGGCACTTGCGCAGGTATGCCTATGGCTAACACGGCATCCTACTGCACACATGCAAATGGCTAGGGGAAAGGAGTTCAC